AGCAACCAAGTCAGCCTAGTCGTTAGCTGCACACCCAGGAATTTGATGCTGGTAACCATCTCCACGGACAAATTAGCATGATCAAGGCAGCATGATCGAAAGAGGACACTGGGGAACTCAAATATGAGATCATCTCCCTATCTAATAGAGCAATATTTTATTTTTATGAGATCAGTTCTCTTTGCATAGCTATTTATTTAGCTACTGTTTATTTCATTTGTAGATAACCTAAAAACAATTAAAAACTCAATGATTACATGATAGCAAGAGAGAGATAAAGAGAAAGACAATATATGTACGGATAGATAGATATGAATGGATGGATACAGAGATTTGACAGATAGGATACCGATAGAGAAGATCACTGCAGATGGGGACTGCAGCCAAGAAATTAAAAGACGCTCCTGGGGAGGAAAGCTATGGCAAATCTAGACAGTATACTAAAAAGCAGAGACATCACCCTGCCAACAAAAGTGCGTATAGTCAAGGCCGTGGTTTTCCCAGTTGCAACGCATGGCTGTGAAAGTTGGACCATAAGAAAGGCTGAGCGACAAAGAATTGAGGCCTTTGAACTATGGTGCTGGAGAAGACTCCTGCGAGTCCCCTGGACTGCAAGGCAATCAAACCGGTCAGTCCTGGAGGAGATCAACCCTGACTGCTCTTTAGAAGGCCAGATCCTGAAGTTGAAACTCAAGTACTTTGGCCACCTAAAGAGAAGGAAGGACTCACTGGAGAAGAGCCTGATGCTGGGAAAGATGGAGGGCAATAGAAGAAGAGGACGACAGAGAATGAGGTGGCTGGGTGGAGTCACTGAAGCAGGAGGCATGATCTTAAATGGACTCCAGAAGATGGTAGAGGACAGGAAGACCTGGGGGAACGTTGTCCATGCGGTCGTGATGGGTTGGACACGACTTCGCAACTAACAACAACAAGAGAAGAGATACAAGATAGATACTGGAGGGGTGGTGTTAATTTAGCAACTTCCGAAGGTTTTATGCCATTTCAGAAGTTTCTTTGTAAGGAAATGGATATAAAACTGCTGAATCCTTTCAGTTCTTCCTTCTCGTTACACTTCAGTTTCTTCACAAGGAAGTTTATAACATTTAAATTACAGTCAAAAACAAAACGTTCTTTCCCTTGTTGCACAACATCAATCTTATTGGCCAGAATCCTTGAAGAAAGAAGAATCCAGAAGCCTCATTGGTCAGAAATGTAGATTCCATTGGTAGTCTAGAAACCTGCGGTGGTAGCCACGGCAACCGAGTTGATTTCAAAAGAGGTTGCTGTTTCTCCATCCTTGCTTCCATTGGAGAGAAGCTACCCCTAATGGCAGAAAGGTGTGGCTGTTGGACCTGTTGTGGGAGGGAGAAAGGGGTAAGGCCTTTTAAAAAAAGAACTGGACATCTTGACCTGAATTTTGCCCTCCCCCCCATTTGTATAACAACATGAGGAAAGTATAATGGTGGTTCTTAGATTGCCCCGTAAAAACATCCATGGAAATAACAAATCGCTGCATTTGTAATTAATTTTTTTTGCAGATTTTCATATTCCCATTTGAAAAGTCAGAGGTTGTGTGTAGCTGAATTCTGTTCACGTAAATTAGTTCAGTTAATTATTATAAAGAAGAAGCAACTTTCAAGTGTAAAGGAAGGATAGATGTGCATATAGCAGCAGCTCTCAACCTTTTCTATGCCCTGCACCCCTAGAACGCTTCTGATATATTCTCACACCCCTTAAAAAAGTTTGAAACAACGGCAATGAATTATACACATACACTATAACAGTGGTGGCGAACCAATGGCACGGGTGCCAGAGGTGGCACTCAGAGCCCTCTCTGTGGGCACGCGCACCGTCGCCCCAGTCCTAGGCCTTCAGCTGGGTTTTATAAAACCTTTTCGCTTTAGGCCTCCGCTGCCATGTACAAAAAAAAAGAGGTTCAATCAATCAGTCAATTTCAACTTCTCGCAGGAAAAAAAAAGATCTTGCAAAGTTGGAATTGATTCATTGAACTTTTTAGTCCCACCCAGTCTGCTGTTACCACCACAGCCATGCCCACCCAATGGGCCACACCCACCCGGCACCCAACGATGCATAAGTGGGTTTTGGGTTGCAGTTTGGGCACTCGGTCTCTAAAAGGTTCGCCATCACTGCACTATAATTTTGAAAACCACCTAGAATATTGTCTCGCACACCCGGTTGGGAACCCCTGGCATATAGTTTGATTTAATGTTTGTTCAATTGTAATTCAAATGATTAGATTGGTTAACATCTACAGGCTTCAAGATCAATAAAATTTGTTTTTAAATGGAGTTATTTTAGATAGATGTATGGTGATAGGATGAAAAGTAAATACATTGATCAACCAACTTAGCACCAACCATACGGAGTTTCTCAACTTTGGACACTTGAAGAAGTGTGGACTTCAACTCCCAGAATTCCCCAGCCAGCCTGGACTGAACCAAACAGATGCTTAGTTATTGTTTTCCTCCCCTCATCTGTATGAGTGCCA